GTGCGTGCGTGCGTGTGTGTTTGTGTGTGTGCGTGCGTGTGTGTGTGTGTGTGCGTGCGTGCGTGTGTGTTTGTGTGTTTGTGTGTGTGTGTTTGTGCCTCTCTCGCCGTTTACGCTGCCGGTCGATGCGGCAACATTGTTCCAGCACAGACGGCACACCACCACCATCACCATCGCCATCACCGCTGCCACAGCCGCCGACTGTGCTAGCACACAGGTGCGCGGTTGCCACGAGGTGGCGGTGTCACTAGTCATTAGATAAACGCGGTGCTGAGGCTGCGGACATTAATTACCCGCAGAAAAAAGCCGGAGAGCGACGAGCGCGAACGCTTCTACATTATTAATGGCGCCGCTCGCTTGCTGTGTCACGCGTCGTGTATGCGCGCGTGTGCGCGTGTGTGTGTGGGGTGGGGAGTATGATCGTACTGCCCCAGTATACAACAACAATAGCTAGCTGGTGCATGTGTTAGGCCACGCCGCGTCTGACCAGGCAAGGATGGAGAGAGTCGTGTCGAGCGAATGACTGAGATAACGCGGTGTTAGTGGCGGCGGTTTACTGGGATGCAGCTGCGTCGATTGAGACACGATTAAAACCACTGCGATCGAAGACGTCCATCCCGCGGGGAGATGTGAGAATGTAGCCAGGAACGAAGAAGAGCAACTGGAGAGAGAGCGCGCGAGAGACAGAGGGCGCGCGAGAGACAGAGAGCGCGCGAGAGACAGAGTGAAAGAGAGGGGGCGAAAAAGAAGCGTCCGCCGCCAGACGTATCTCCGTGGACTATAGCCGTGTGACGTGATATGTTCGTGTGTTTACTCCATGCAGTAGAGATTACTATCGCTGCTCTTCCTTCACATGCGTGTCTGTAGCGGCGTGTACTTTTACAGGTGCACGCGGACACACATCCGGGCACCTCTGCGCATCTGAGTCGTGCAATACCTGTCAACGCCGAGGCTTCGGATAGTACTGACCATAGAGTGACCACCGAGTGACCCGGTGATCCGACCGCCATCATGGTCACGTGTGCCGAGCTGTTTTCGGCCGGTCCGCCGGACATCTGCAACTGTCTGTGGCGCTATTGCTGCAGCATAGTGTATGGTAAGTGATCTCGGGCAGATACGCACACACAGGAACACAGACACACGCACACACACACACACACACACACACACACACACACACACACACACATCACAGCACACCACACCACACACACGACATACACACACACATACAGCACACGCATGCACGCAATGCGCCCACGCAACGTGGGCACACACACGCCACACAGCACACACACACACAGCAGCCACAAGCACACAAACACATCACATACACACACACACACACACACACACACACACGCGCGCGCGCGCGCGCACGGATACACAATATACACTGCCCATATTATAACAGCTTGCGCTACATACACCTGCATTACATATATAGAGCCTGCACTGCACTAGAGACTACCTTACACGTAGTGTACAGCTTTGGCGAGAACACATGCTTGTCTACCCGTCTTTGTCTAGATTTTGAGGCGCAGTGTTGAACGCATATATCTGTATAATTACTCCGACACGCTTGGTAGCGGTTTGCATCAGCGACAATTAATCGATCTGCCTCCCACTACACCCCCCCCCCACCGTACCTAGCGATTCCTGATCAATGTGACCATTATAAGCTACCGCTATAGCGTATTTCGTAGCGGTAGGCCCTACTATTGGGAGGTACGATATACACCTTGCTGTAGCCGCGTGTCGTTAGCCCGTGATAACGTGCTTATACCGTTGCCCTGCGTGTGCGGTCTTTGTGCTGAGTCGGCCGCAGCTGACGCTGTCACCTCCCATCCCTGCTTGTCAGAGGACTTTATGCACTCACTGCCTCACCCGACATATGGCGATAATAATTACATTAGCATCGCGTGGGAGCAATTTAGCGCATGCGCGTCTTCCATTGTCACTGCAGGACCGTAGCTAACCTACTTAGCCTAGGAAGGGGGAGGGGGCAAGCCACGCGCGTGGTTCTGGGAAGGTGACGGCCATTGACCATGTATTGTATCTATTTTTTCTGGGGGAAGGAAGGTAACTGCTACGCTAAATTAGGAACAATAACATCATAACGTTGCAAGCGCCTTTTTTTACAGTTTTTATTACACTACTTAATTACAGTGCAATAAACCGTGCTAGCGTAAACAAGTGACATGTGACAACGCAAGTGGGAGCTAAAGTGCAGCAAAGCGATGCGCTTATCTCAATGCTGTTCTAATCTCATAAGATTAACCGAGTGCATTATCATATCATTAAGTTTACTCGTACTTTTACGATGTTTCTGACAACGGTGCATGTGTATTAAGTGCATCAGATATATACAACAATTAAGAGCCTAAAATCGTTGCCCAATGCAGTGCGCGAAATCAGCCCTATTTTGCCGGTTCAACCCCCTAAACCGTTGGTTCAACCCGCCATATAATCAGTCCACTTGGCCTATTCAGAATTTTGCCTATCTTGCCTTTATATCAACAATATTTACCAATTTCCTGACTAGTTTTTACTTAGTGACTACTAAGAAGTAAATCATGTTCCAGCAATTCCTGTCAGACAAGTAGAACTCCACTGATAGCAATGAAATACTGAAATACTACGAGTATGCCTAACAAACACGAAGCTAATACTTTGATTAATAATGAATTAAATTGAACAAAATTATGGGCCTGTTCAAACTTGTAAGGGCCTGTTCAATTTGTCTAAGGGCCTGGAAATATTTTTTGGGTGGGCCTGTTCACATTTTGGCTAATATCATGCCTTGCCAATGTCAGGCCTCGCGCATTCATTTAACGGGGCAGCGGTGACTAACTGACGCACCTTTGATCAGCCGCGCCTGACGTTCGTGAGATGCTGCCGCCATCTTTGGCGCGCTTTAAAATTAGCTGCAACCAGATGAGACGGGATACTAGAGAAGCGTTGCCGAAAGAAGGTGTTGACCCGAAGTGCTGAGCGCAGATCTTGCGCGCAGTTCCGCGGCAAGGCGCACGCGACCGCGGGAACGTCCTACGACAGTATGCAGCGCTGGCAGCTATGGATCCGTGCGCCGAATGCTTACGCCATATATATATACTGGTTTATGTAAAGATCAGGTGCGTATCATGACGTAGATAAAAAAAGCGCGTACAGGCCATGGCGCATAGAGACGAGTTATGCCGATACTAGCAGTGAAAACTACGCAGAAACGGGGAGAGGTGACGTCATTAATTCCATCATCGTATATGTAATAGCTATAGTGTCATTACAGCCATTGAAGACGACGTGATAGCTAGGGTCGTTATGATATAGCTAAGGTCGCGGTAATCTCTCGGCATCATAGCTAGGGTCGTTAAATGGGTATCATCAATATCTAATCACGCGACCCGAATGTGCGCTAGCATACCGGACAGCAGGAGAGCATGGTCGTCTTTAGCAGAGTGTCTCCTGCTGCGTAAGCGAGTCTATGACCACGGTCAGTAATCGAAGGAGAATTCCAGCGCAGTCGCGGTTGAATCTAGTGCGGCTGATCAGCCCCCGCGTCAGGCGAGCCGCGATAATGCGTGCCATTCCTTTGGCCTACATTCTCGCACCTTGTCCACTCGAGACGAAGTTAATTAAGAGTCTTCGTTCATTCATTAATCCCCTTGTCAGCGGCAGCGGCAGCGGCGGCGGCAGCGGCGGCAGCGGCAGCGGCAGCGGCGGCAGCAGCGGCGGAGATCATGGTTGCGTACGTCGGCATGCGACCGTAGCGTCGCCTGCGCTGCAGAGACTTGATGCGTCACTAGCAACCCCGTGTTCGCTCACAACGCGATGGCTTCTCTCTTGTCAATCTTCCTTCTCCTTCGTCGGTGGTCGGTGACCGAGTAGAGGGGGTTTTTGTTTGTAATGGTGGGCATGTTTGGGTGTAGAGATAGAAGAGGTCTGGCTGGTGGCGCTCATAAGAGGGACTCGCGGCACTGTTTGATCGAGTTGGAATTGAGGGTGCGGTTGTGATGGCGTGATATAATATAATGGATGCTAAATGGATGAAAGCTGTGTGTGAGGCGTTAGACTCGTGAGATAGCGGCAATTTAAACACGGTGGAGTGTACAGACGCTTAATAATATATATAAACACCGGGTGAATTCTTCTCGTATATACACTGCATATACATCGATGTTTGATGGGCAAGGACACACAGCTATATAGCAAGGACCCTTAAACCCTCGTTTTTTATGGTGGAGATGCAGTTATTATGTAGACTATGTGAATGTCTGGTTATGGTTATTTCGTGCGTAGCGTTGATGCAGCTATACCGCATGCAGAGTTTCCTTAACCCTAGTTATTTTGCGCTTAACATACGCGCATTTGGTGTATAGTATATTATCAGGAGTCTAGCAATATATGATATATATATATATATAGTGTAGCTTCTATGAACCTGGTGATTTCGTGCGTTCACGCGATTCCACATCTTTGTTATCACAAGTCCGCTCAAGTGAGAGTTTCAGTGCGATGTTGTCGCTCTAGCATGTGATTACGTCGTGCAGTGCCGGGGGGCAGCGGTGATGTTGACGTTGCCATCGGCCGCGAAGCTTCCGTCACCTCACAGTTGAACCGCTGAAAACTGTTCCTCATCTCACCCCCACCCCTACCTCAC